ATCGCGGTGCCACTCCCGCGTGTTATGGCACATATTGAGCCTAGCCACATTCATCCCTCCCAAAACCAGTTTCTCCAAGTCCTCCAAAGAAGAACAAGCTGGCCCAATTGTGCACACAAGCTTGGTCTTCCTCAACCCCAAAAACCCCTTCTCCCTCAACTCCCTCTCTGACACCGCATCGAGCTCCAAAGTCCTCTCCAAACTTTTCAGATTTCTCACTCTCTCTGATTCCTCCAAACCCACTTGCACTGCCTGCACTCCAGCCCCAACCTTACCCTTGAGTTTCTTTCCAATACAAGACACCCCATGATGCAAAACTGGTACCCCAAAAACTTGTTTCTCTAAATTAACTCTTGGGTTCTTAGCTTTGATATGAAAACATGTATGAATCGAATGGCCAGCCACCGCCATGGATTCCATAAAAAGATTGAACTTGAACTTTTTGATCAATATCAGAAAGACCAAGATGAAAAAAAAAGGCTAATCTTTCTCACTAATAGAATACAGGGTTACGAACAAACCGATTTCTTCGATGAATAATGATGCTTCTTGGATCAAAAACTCCGTCAAGATTTGGACTTTGTTCGGAGTTTACAAGAAGAAGAGACGGCAGAGAGGGGTTGAGTGACAGAGTGAAAGAATATTCGTCAAAAAAGAGAAGAATATGGACCAAAAGGAAACAAATTTACAAAAGAAAAAGGAGAGCAGGTTTTAGAGTTTTCGGCATTAAATATTTTGAACACTGGTGCATTCGAAAAGGGGCGGTAGTAGGTGTCCAAATTTAACGGTCAACTACCCTTTGCCGGTAGGGTAGGGCCGACAGCGTAACTGGATCCATTTGCGGCACGTCAGTTTTCAGACCTGTACGGATTTGCAAGCAACAGCTGTACTGTCACAGATGGTCCCAAAGCACAGAGTGATACAGCCTAATCAAAACCCTTCTTGGATTTTGGAGATCTAAAATCCATTTCCTTCATTTTTTATTACCCAAAAGAAAATTGAAAATGGATAATCATAGCCCACCAAACTGAAGGGCCTCAAATGAAAGGGTTTTCTTTTTTTATGTATAAACGTGGACCCAAATGATTGTAAGCTAAAGGGTCCATCTGACATACAATCAACTCAGTCAGACCAATCTTTGTTTAGCTTTAGAACCCAATTTTAAATGTAAATTCAATTGCAAACCCAGGCGGAAATTTAAAAGAAAAATGCCCAAATATACTATAGATGGATCGAGGCAGGCAGCTCAAGGCTTAGAGCTTTTTGATAAGGGGTTGTGTTGAGTTTGGTGTTGAAACTTGAAAGGGCTTGAAAGGGGGTTTGCGTATTGAGTTAGTGGTAAATTATGAGAAGCAGTGATTTTTTTATTTTTTATTTATATACAAGAGATAATCTAAATTAGTGTATCATACGGAAAGGTAAATCGAACTCGGGCACAAAAGACGGGCACCACACTACCTTAATCAACTAGCTTAACTTATACAGAGCAATGGGGGAATGAGATTCTCTTTAGGATAAGCAACAATCTACCGACTGACCACATTTTTATTTTTTTTGGGTTTTGTATAGAATGTGGTACCAACCTCGAACCCAAGACCACTAGGAGTTAGTGCAAGCACACTTAACCACGAGGGCATGTAGAAGGCGACCACATTTTTCTTTCATTGTCTTGTTATTTTGATTAATGGTGAAGATGATATTTGAATTTTGGATCTCTTCCAACATTAAGAAGAGACGTATCACTAGACTAAATGAGAGTTTGTTTTTTATTCTCTTGCTATTAGATTGGGATATGCCATGTCCTTCACGTGTATCACATTTGCTATGTGCTTTAACTGAAGTATTGTTGGGTTGATGTCATGTCTGGTATCTGTTTCAAGAATAAAGTCATGCTAAATTCGGCAAATCTCCAGCTCAAAGATTGCCAATTTGCCATAAACTGAATGGGGCATTAAATTCTATGTTCCCTTAGCTAGGGAGAGGGACCATATCAAAATCACTTTCAACCAAATTCTATATGTGTTATTGTAGCTACTTATATACCCAAAATCACCATTTGTCACTCCCATATTCAGTAATTCCAGCTGATATCCACACTTGGGGAATCAAAATGTTATGTTCTTTTAGCTAGAGATATTCACTACTACAAAAAAGGAAAACCACGACGGGTATTC